TGCAGTTTTCCGTAGATTCATTCACAGAATTGACTGAGACAGAGTAAGGTAAATATCTGTTGCACAGATGCTTACAGTGGAATGCATCTGTGTCAAATATCTGAGGGTCATGGTTTCTGTTGGTCCCATAATCTGCAGTTTTGCTGTAGAGATGTGAACCAGTTGTGTCTGAGCACAGAGTAGCTCTTCACCTGGCATGTGCTGCCTTAATTAATCATAATACACACCAAAGTGCTAGAGATCTGTCCTGTTCTGCAAAAGTTAGAGTATACACTGGAAAAATACTGAAGGATTATTCTTTTACAACCCTGTGCACCTTAAAGGGAAAAAGCCCCACAAACCCTCATTAGATGGTGATTTGCTTTTTTGTAAGTGCTGAGCCTTGAGAGTTGTATGATGTTTGGCAAGGATCTCAGGGGAGAGGGGGAAGATTGATAGTTTTTAATTGGATGGAGATTAATTGCTCAGTAACCAAATCTTTGTTTTTTGAAGGTGGGAGATTCAAACTCATCCAGGGTTTGAGTTATGTTCAGTGAAATTAATGAGTTCATGTCTAAGTATGTACGAGGTAGGGAACTGAATGGAATCTGGTTGGGGTTCTGGTTTCAGCTTTACTGAAAACTCGTGATCTTGAACAGCCACATCGTTTGGCTGTCTTGATTTCTCCACTGTCTTGCTCATAGCCTAAATAGACTTCTCCAAACAAGTACTGGTGCTGTGTGAATTAGTACATTAATTTATTTACATTACAGAAGCACCTGAAGGCACCCTTCTAAGATTATATGCTATTTAGCTAACCGGACTTGGGTTTGCTCTGTGAAAATACAATAATCCTAACAAATCATCCCACCTACCTAATAAAGTAGGATGAAGCACATAATAGGAATGGATTTCAGACTTTTTAATGGAGCCAGGTGGGAAAACAATGAGAAGTAATCAGTAAGTAAGGTATTGTGTGGTTAGAGAGTGTAAAAGAGAGAGAGGGATTCCAGGATGATGCATGTGTGTCTGCTGAAAAAGCTGCTTAAGGAATGTGTCTTCCAGGAGAAAAAGTAGTAAGGTGCTTTTACTTTCTCTTTCCCTATCATTTTTCACATTATTCATATTTTCATAAGCTAATCTTTTATAATTAGCTGCACACAGTGAACTACAGATTCAAAACATCTATTCCATTTTTTTCTTAAGACTACTTGTTGGAGTTTGGACATGAAATGTGATGTCATGCACTGTGTCTTAGTAGGGTGTTCTTCAAGAGTGCAGAAAGCAGGTTTCTTCTGTCCAGAGTCTTGGAAGAGAAAAATCTCCCTTGATATCCCAGCCCTGGACTTGAAGTGACAGCACACCATGTTGAGGTGCGGTTGTTTAAGAGATTTTGCCTGCTTCCTGACAACTGTGGTGCTGCTTCTGGGAGAAGGTTTGGTGGTAGCTCTGGTTCTTGGCACAGAGGGCTGGCCCAGCATTATGGACTGTGGACATGGTGAAGCAGTTTCTGAATCTAGTGTTACTCAAATGTTTTTTTAAACATATTTTTATACCTGCCTCTCTCTTCCCTTACAAACTAGTTAAGCCTTTAGAGTATGGTCTTTCTCAAGGAAGTCCACATTTCAGGTTTCCAACATCCTTTGTCTGTCTTGGTTTTCCCATTGACTGCCATTTAGACTTCTGCCAAGTGGCAGCCAAAACTGCATGGTACCTTTTCTTGTGTCTGTATAACTGGCTTCTACTCTGATGCAGGTGTGTTCTGTAGGGACAAATTTTACCCAGTTTGATCAGGTTTCTAAATCCAGTTTGTTTCCAAAGCTCAAAGTGAGGTTAATCAAAAATAGTTTGCTATTCTGATTTGGAACAGATTGACAGAGTTCCCATCTGTATGCCCCCAGAATCACCCTGGCTGTAGTTCATTGAAAGGTGCTTGAACTGCAGGAAGCCTGACAAATTAATAATTCGTTTTAACTAATTACAGCAGGACTTCCCTGGTTTTGGACTTTCTTGTAAGTAACTTCGCATAAACGTATTTCTGCAGCAGAGGTGCGGAGCGGATCTGTGTGACAGGCCAGTGCTAGCACAGCACTTGGTTGGGGATGTGGTGAGGTATCTTCTGGGCTAATGAGGGCCCATAATGTGCTCATTGTGCTGGAGTTGGAGTGCTTTTGCTGAGAAAGTTTCATTGCAGGTTATGACTTGAAATAAGCAGTTTCCATAACGTGATGGCTTTGCTGACCAAAGCTTCATTTATGCTTCTAAGACTTACGCACCAAGTGCTTTGGTGCTGTAGTATGAAACTCTTAGCTGCACAGTAAAATCTTCCACACGCAGAGTTGATCCTCTCAATTTCTGCCAGCCAAAGAGGAAAACGATGTCACTAATTCTTCACTGATTCCCCACAGAAAAGCAAAGAAAGTTGCCTTTTGTGAGAAGGCCATCAGCACTTGCCCCTGGCAAAGCTGCTGTTAACGGCAGTGGTGCTGCACTGTGGTCCTCCATGCACCCGTGCTTAGGAGAGCCAAAATCACAGCAGGCAGTCAGACACAGGTGCAAAAGGAGGCAGGTGAGCAAAACAAAGGTCTCCATAATCCTGAGGGTGCACACCAGTTACTTATTTATTTTCCCAGTGGACTGCTGGGTGGGATTGCTAAGGAATGATGCCGGCTGTTTTCTGAGTTACTGTAGCGTGACGCTCCTCCTGCACCAGCCAGGAGGGATGCTTGGTGACTGTAGCATACAGCTATACCTCGCAACCCTGGCCCAAGGACTGGATCAAAACCTGTGCTGCAAAAGTGTTGATGCTTCTTTCCATGCCTGCGGCAGTCACCTTGCATGATTTAGGATGAAGTCAGTCACAACACATTGCTGTGCTATGATAGCCTTTAAATACAGACTTGAAGAGCTTGTTTTTGTAACTGCTAGCTCATGCTAACTTTTTATTCCACATTCCATAATTGTGTTGTCACAGGAGTTTGCACTTGCTACTACATTAAAAATTTAAAAAAGGTGAAATGGGCAACTTGGTATAATAAAAGTAGGAAGAATGGGGGAAGAATTGTAGCTGACAGTTCTAAAAGATGTTAAAATTTCTGACTTCTGGCTCCAGACAGTGTGTGTGTACAGGTCAGCCAATGTGGAAACTACTTCAAACAACCTGAAAAAGTTTGGCTTTTGCTCATTAGGGCTGAACTTCATCAGATTCTGCTTCTTTTGAACTTGAAATGAGTGTTTGCTTCCAGTATGTGCTGTAGTCAAATGGAAATGTAGATTTGGTGGATCATAGATTTCTTCCAAAGAAATACAGATCTGTTTGAAAAGTAGTTAGTTTGTTGCATAAAGTTGCCATGACAATGGTTTTTAAAATGTGAAGTGTAAGATGTTGCCTCTCTTCTATTTAAGCAGGCTCCTGGGGGAATGAGGCTGCACATAGCCCTGTGTCTCTTCTTTCCTCCCCCAATGAGTTATAAAAGGAATTACTTAGTTGCAGGGGACCAAAAGAAATCAGCATAGAAGTGCCAGACGTTACATTTTCTTAAATTCTTGAAATTCATGGGATACTATTGTCAAATAGAAGGAAATCCAAGCTTGTACTTTCTCTACGAGAGAGGCAGGAGCTCCTCTGTTCCTGTACACGTTTAAACTGGCTGGTGGCTGGGCAACCCGCACAGGGCGGCCGTTTCAGTGCGAGTGTGTGCTAAAGAGCTGTGAGGCTGTTGAGGGGGGCAAAGGGGATGTTGTTTGTCTGGAAGAGGAGGTTTGGAAGCACAAAATATAAATCCAGAGTGAAGCAGGCTTTTTAGACTATCCATCTTTAGTAAATGCCTAAAAATGGTTCAACGGAGATAGTTTTGCACTGTGTGCATGTTTTATGGGCAAAAGTACCACACCAGAGTTTCTAGGGGTTTTGAAGCATGTTGGATACCTGTTTCCCCGGACTTTTAAAAGCTTTGATCTGAACTAGGTTTTATTTGTTGGTCAATTTTGTCCTAATCCATGCATAAGACTCAAGTTTAGGGAAGACTTAACTTATGTGGAGATTGGCATGTGCAATAAGAACTTGTTTCATGGTTCTCTTTCTACATCCATTCCTTACTTTCTACTGAAGAAAGCACTGAACAAGCTAATGTTCCCACTTGTTTCCTAAGAAATAGGTCTCATGTTAGGTAAGTATGCAGAAAGGCAGGTTTTGATCACCTGTCTGCTCTCTAGATGTACTAAGAGCTGTAAAAACAAGATGTTTTAGTGTTTCTGCTGGTGTGGTAGAGCAGAGGAGCTTTGCCAGAGCTTTCTCTTTTTTTTGTTTGTTTGTTTTGTTTTGTTTGTTTTTTGTTCTGCTTTTGTGTTTTGTTTTGTTTTGTTTTTTTTCTAGATCAGATACAAACAGGTGTTGACTAGGTGCTGCAGTTTTAGCTCTTACTACACACACCAGACATACCTTTGTCATCTTCTCTCCAGAGCTTCATAGTTATATAGTAGAGCTGGGAATTTAAGAGAAGTGAAGTTGAGCCAGCTCAACTGAACATGGGAAAACAAACATGGAAAAGAATGTGCTAGAGAATGAAAAAAGAGAATTACTTTCTAGACCCAAATTATGCTTTGCTAGGTAGCAGCTGTCTGGCATTCACAGATTAAACAGCCGCTTAGCTAACATGTACTGACAATGATAGTATGTCCTCTGTTTTGCTTTGAGTGCATGAAATGAGGAATTAACTCTCCCATGCTGAAAGCCATAAAAGTATCCAAAAGTGTGTGTTTACTACTAATAAACATTTGAACTTCTCTGTTGTATTCAGTACCTGATCTGTGCTTTATATAACAATGCAGAGTTAATGGCATTAATGCTGCTTTATAAGTCAAAAAGTGAAGTAGTTTTATAAAATTGCTCTTTAAACAAATGGGGTTTGGCTATGAGGGGTATTATTAAATGCATAGTCGCTTCTGAGCGGTTTGGTGCATTTTATGGTTTTCATAGCCCCTTCCAAATAAAAAGATTTGTGTGGTCTTTTGTCTTACAGCGTTCCATGTGGAGCCCAGGGAGCCTGAAGGAGGCTGTGAAGCTAGTGGAATGATTCCCTGTGTAGCTGAAACTATGTAAGTATTAGATGTTTGCTTACAAGATCATTTGCCCAGCATCAGCTGTTGGAGCAGTGATTGCTTCTGGTTCAGCAGTTGCAGTGCTCCTCTCATGCCTCCCCAGTGGAAAACTATGGGTATCTGTTCAGAGCTGGAAAAAGACGGGGCACCCATGATACTGTTCCCTACTTTCAGCTATTTGAGAAGTTATGTATCCCTGACCACTAAAAGGTAGATAATGCATAGTGAAATTCTGTAAAATTCGTACAAGCTATACTCAAGTGATTGCAAAAAGTTGAGGCTGGGTTGACGCTTAGTTAAGCTCTAGCAATGTTGTCTTTGCCTTAGCCAGTGAACTGCTACTTGGGAAGGGATTTAATGGTTGGCTGAGCTGTGTCTTCTTTTGTAATGAGATTTCCTAAATTTGTCTTTGAGGTGTTCTTAAATGTATGGAGGGTTTTCTCCTCTCCTGATACTTTCTGTGTTTTGAAACTCATTGTAAATACCTTCTGATGCAACACTTTATTAAGTGACATGATGCTTGGCTGTGTTTTGTTATTCTCTGGATGTATCCAGTAATTTCTATTACTACAATAATGTTGGTCATTAAAGAAAAATACAGGGCTGCTTAAATATCTCCTTTGCATCTTCTGTCCTTCTGCCAGCTCTCCCCCACTTCAGTGCTGCTGTTTTCAATTGTGCCATGTTGTGCTTCTGACAGAGAATTATTACTGAGTCACTTTGTTGTTCTGCTCCCTTCAAATCTCAGGTTACGTGTGATCTGGTCACTTGAAAATGGAGAAAAACTAATTTCCTTACAGCACTTAAAAAAGCCAACCAACCAACCTCTTAAAAAAAACCCACAAAACAAACCCAAACAAAAACCTAAACAAAAACCCCACCAAAACAAAATGCCCCACCAAGCATTAGCAAGGTCTTTCCAATCTTCTCTAGGTTTTATGTTTAATGTATTGGGCAATACAGTTCCACGCATCCTTTGTTCTTAAAGGGTGGCTTTCCTTTAACTGGCTGTATACATCAGCACTAGTCTTCCTGTGTTTCCAGTTGCTTACTCCCCTCTAGAAAGGAGCAGAGAACATCATTGTCGATCTCTGCTTTGCAGTTCCTGTTATGTGGAAGATGGCCTCATGGACATCTTGGTGATTCACATTTACTGTAGGTTATTGCTCAATAGTTGTCTGAGTAATCAAACTTCTTTGAGAGTACTGCATCCTGTAGCACTGAGTATGTTCCAACCTCAGCCCTGAATTTTGATCTTTTTCACTAGAATGGCAAAACTAGTGGTCAGCGCTGCCTTATGTGCCTCACTGTTGTTGTACAAGCTTGTCACAGTAATTTTTCTCTTGGGATCTGATCCTTTTGGGAATTGGTGCTTTGCCACCAATCCATTATAACCTTTGAGTATGTGAGAACTTTATACTTGTAGTTCTCCATTCATCTGGGAGAAATATCTCTGCACGTCCTTGAGCTCATTTAACTGTAATCGGCATGACCTAGACGTGACTTTTGCTTTCCTCTACAGTTAAATGAGTAGCTCTCTTTGCTTTCCCAAGAGTGCTTTTTCATACTCCTTGAACACTGAGTTCAATGCAGCTCCTGATGCTGCAATTGGATCCTCTCTCCAGCCTTCCTTAACAAAAGGGCTGAGTTCTCCCACTTGTTTCTGTCTCCTTCCGAGGCTCTTGTTCCTTTCATGCCTTGAAACCTGAGTCATGTAGGAAGCGGAGGTGACTAGTAAGTGAAGTGGATCCAGCTCAGTGAAGGCATTTTATAAAAGGGTAACTAATGGAGCGCCAAAAGACTTTCCTCTTACAAAACCAGATATGTGCACAAGCTGCTAGTGGATGCAGTCTGATTTCTTTTTTTTTTCAAGCTGGTTTTGCTATTTTGGGGGTAGAATGCCTCAAAGTATCTGGCATGTGGCATCAAGTTTCATGTAGTAGAAAAGTGAGGAATTGCAGCAACTGTACTTCAGCATCTTCTAGTGTTTGTTCATAATGAGTAGGATTATGCTCTGAAAACCTCCTCAGCAGAGAGAAGGAAGGACGAATTCCGTTACTGCAGGGAAGAGCAGTGCTAGCAGAGCCCAGGCAGTGGCTGTTTGGGAGCAGCAGTCAGGTCCCTGTATGGGAGGTAGGTTGGAGTACAGAAAACATGCTTGTCAGAGAGGTACCCTGTGGGGGGATGTGGTTAACTTGTGCTCTTTGGGTTGATGTTAACTGTGCTCTCCAGTGGTTTTTGGAAACAGCTGTTGGGATGCCTTCTCACATACAGGTGCTTAATAATGCTGGCTGACCTTTCCTCTATGTGTTGTAATGCTGTCTTTTCATGAGAGAAAATGACAACCCCATCTGTTTCATCACACTGCTGATGTCACTTTGTAGATTTGAATATTAGATTGTTATCATCATTAATACAAGCTGTTGCTTGGGAAGCATGACAGCATGAATCAGTTCCGTTAGGAAAATTTGTGGACAGAGTATATAAGTTAGTCTTGCAAACTTGTTGTTTTGGTTTTTTTTTAACGTTAAATTGGGATTCCTAAAGTGAATTGGATTCACTGCTGTCCATTATGCTGCATGTGATTTGACTACTGCTAGCTACTTTAGAGGAAAGTAGCATTTACTAATGGGCAGCTGTTCTTTAACCTGCCCATAGGGAAAAGCTGTTCTGGATCCCCAACAGCTAATAATTGCTGTTATGTGTTTGAACAGAAAGCTTTATAAACTAGCTAAACTCTACTTTAATACTAGTTTTTACTGAGGATTTTTTTATTGTCTTTGTTTATTTGCATGCTTCTCTAAAGAAAAACTTAGCCAAAGTAGTGCTAGCTGCCTTTGAGAAACGGATGGAAGAACAAGAACTAGTGTAGATTGAGTATTTGAATTCTGATGAATTTAAAGTGGGGGGGAAGGCAGGCTGGTATCTGGGAGTTATTATTAGGCAGTGTAAATTACTGCTTAGTGACTATTCTCTGTGTTTTGGTGTAATGAAAAAATAACTGGTGTAGACTGGAGAAGATGATGTTGCTTAGGTATGTATATACTCTGTAATTCAGAGAGCTGTGAAGTACTAAGGACCAGTGAAACTGTCTTTTGGGCTGTTTATGTGGAAACGCATATTTTAATAAATCCTTCAAAATACAAATGAATGAGAAATTATTAATTACATAATATTTACTTGCCTATAAAAATGATACTACAAAGTTCATTTTTAAAGCAGTTTGAAAGGCTGTACCAGATGATGTTTTTTTCCTTCTGCTGCTTAAAAATAGGTTTTTCTTAGTTTTGATTGTGGGTTATGGGTTTAAGAAAAGGAATTGGGGAGGGGAAGGGAAGCCAGGTAGTTGAAACCAACATCTTGGCTGTTGTAGTTTTACTAGCAAAAAGAATTTTTTTTTTTTTTTTTTTTTTTCCCCCTCATGAAACTGCATATGTGCTGTTTTGCCAGAACAGGTATAATGGCAGAGAGAACATTTATATTTGTAATCCTAATTTCTGGAGAAGTCATCTGCACATGGTTCCAAGTTGGTTTACAGTTTAAAACAGAGGTTCAATCTCAAAGAGCTTTACCCAAGAAAGAATATGGAAAAACTGACATGACATCCATTTCATCTCTTAATTTTTAATTATTATCTCTTTTCTTGCTCAAATTCTGTAACCTGGAAGCGGTAAACAAAGACAAGACAAATACAGGTTTTTATGTTCGAGGGTTTTGCCTGACAGCGGAGATGAAATGCAAATAAGTGGGTAAAGGAAGAATATGATAAGCAATTGCTTTCTTGGAGTTGATATTTCTGAGAAACGGACTGTCCACGGCATGGCTGCAGGCTGATAGGATAGTGTCACAGTGTTAGTTTGGTTTTAATAGGGAAAAATTAAGAACCCTTTTCTGTGGGTAAAATATATTTTCCAAATATGCAAGGCTTTAACATTGTGATTTATAAAACCAGAGTATGATGAAATGATTTTGGCATTTTAATTTTGATTTTTTTTAAAAAGCTGAACTGGAATTACTACTTCTTATCTGCATATGTGTCTGTCTGAAAAAGTTTCATTAAAAAAGCCCCCTCCCCCTGTCTGTCTTGTTACCTGAAGGGAGGAGCCCACTTGAAATGATGAATAATTCCTAAACACCATCTTGCATGAAAATTTAGTGTTGTCTCATTTCTGCAAGCATGCTCTGTGTATGTTTTAAGAACAAATATAAAAACCAAACCCACCTCTGCCCCCCCCCCCAAAAAAAAAAAAGAACCCCAACCCCCCCAAAAAAACTCTTTTCCCTATTTGCTGAGGGTACATTCTAAATTTACTGCTTAAGTTTTTGCCAGGCTGTCTTGTCAGTGTCCCTGTCCCCCCCCACTTTGTTTCAGTGTTCTATATTCTATATATAAAATGTGGGTATACTTTAAAAAAAACATTTCCTTTAAAATATTTCTGGGTTAGTCTGTCCTGATGAAGCCTGTACATGAATCAACCTCTTTGTAACCTATGTTACAGTAAGAATTTTAGGAATTTCCTTTATTAGGACCCGTTAGTATGCTGCGGCCACTGAGCGAGCTGCATTGATTTCTAGGTAAAACAGCCTGAAATTTATGGCATATGCCAACCTTCTGTACACTACTCCTTTTCAGTATGCAGAACTTAAATATCCCGAAGTCGGTCTTTTACTGGTGAATGTTATCCCACATTTAATACTTATGATATTCTTTGTGGAGAAACAGCAATTTGACTCTGAAACTGTTTTTCAGATTAGTTGACTGCCGCTAATGGTATGGTGAGATGTGTTGAAGAGCAGCTGCGAGGGTGTCCGACAGCAAAGGGACCGCTCTAGAAGCTGGGCTTGCAACATCATGGGCCAGTGTGTCACGAAGTGCAAGAATCCTTCTTCTACCCTTGGCAGCAAAAACGGGGAAAGGGAATCCGGCAGCAAGTCGCATAGTAAGAGAAGTGCAGTCCACAAAGACGACCATGGTTCAGCTTGCGGGAAGTCTTCAGGAGATATACTTGTGAACGGAACAAAGAAAACGGATGCTGCTGTAGAGTCTAGTCAGCCTCCAACATTTTCTGGAGATACAAAGAAAGACTCTGTTTCCAGCGCAGAAGAATCTTCGCTCCAAAGGATTGGGGAATTATTTAGGAGGTATAAGGATGAACGGGAAGATGCCATACTGGAGGAAGGAATGGAACGATTTTGCAATGACCTTTGTGTTGATCCCACTGAATTTAAAGTGCTAGTTTTGGCATGGAAATTCCAGGCTGCTACCATGTGCAAATTTACAAGGTTAGTTCTTGTAGAACTTGTAATTATTTTCATATATTAAAGTATATCCTGTCATCTGTGTGTTGGAGAGACAGCCTCATTAGCTTCACTTACTTATTTCTTCTAATGCTTGCATTTTGATCAATTTAATTCCTACCAAAGCAGAAGGTAAGCTTTGCATTGTCCTCTTTTTCCTTTTCCCCTCAGTGTGTTTCAGAACTGAAGATGTGTTTTGAGACATTATGTTGCTAATCATGAACAGTGTAATGAGATTCTGTAGACATTCATTTATTCTTGATTTACCAAAAGCAGTTTTACTGTATCCAGCATTATCTTGGTGATGAGATTGGACACAAATTAATTTTAGCTTCAAAGTAATGTGAGTAATTGCTACCAACTCTGCTATCATTCTGTGAAAGAATGACAGACCGCTTCCTAAGAATTGTTATTGCCCAACCAGTGTTACACTTAATGTCTTTTTCCGAGAGTAATCCTGTTGAAGCATAGAGAGGGAAGGAAACACAAGGTTTTTGACATGGGTAGCTGTTTCATACTGACTGACAAGTGATTGGTATTTAAAGTGCTGTCTGCCCATCTGGACAAGGGGGTCAAGGGGGTCAGTCAGCAGGCTTATGGCATGTCTGGTGCTACAGGAAACAACAGAATGGCTAAAATTTACCAGGAAAAAAAAAAACCAACCCAACCCAAAACTACAGTAGCCCCCGCCAGCTTGATTATCAATGTCCAGGTAAGGCCAAGAAAAGACTTCCTACAGGGACTTGCTGAGAGAGAAAGATTTTTTTTTTTATATTTTGGTCTATCTAGATTTGTTTGAGTAATGCTACTTATTTTTACTCATCTAATGACTTTCAAAATTTAGTGTTCTGAGCCTTGAACCAAGCCTCTGCTGTGCACTGAACACAGATAGCATCTTCAGAGTCTTCCAGCGTCTTTCAGAGTCTTTATGGATGTGGGTGTGTGTCAAATAGATGAGTTACTCTGGAATGCAAATATGGATTTACCAGAGGTTGATGGCACAGGTATTTGCTAGCAGAGTAAAGAAATTGCAAGTAGTGTTTGTGATTCTGCACAGCCACCATGAGTTTCATTAATGCAGTTTTGATTTTCTTGGAGAGGGCAAATCCAGTGGTGAGGGGCTACGTTTGTTTAAGGGCATGCTCCATGGTATGGGTGCTTGATCGACTCCTTCCATCAAGGAAAGCCACGTGGTCTTCTGTTCTCCTGAGCCCTGCTCCATCTCCTGTCTTCCCTCCAGCTCGTCCTGTGTCAGAGTCTGCTCGCTTTGGTTAATATTGGCTGGTTATAACACTTGCTCATGAGCATTAGAGAAATTAGAGCTAAACATCTACCCACTTGGCCAGATTATTAGTAGGCTAATTAGTATAGGACTGGTGCTTTGAGCGGTGTTTATAAGTTGTGTTGTAGCCCTTGTTTTGTGATGTCGTGCTCTCTTCCACTCTCTTGCTGGGTGACTTGCTGACCATCACTGTTGGCACCGTTTTTATTTTACAGGCTGGAAGAGCAACCAGAAACCACAGGAAAGTCACCAGAGGACTGCTCTGTCCCTTGAGAACAGCTTGCCCAGAGCATGTGTTTTTAGATGTGGGCAGTATTGAATCAAGCTGGTTTATATATGGTGCTTCAGTGTGTAAATGTGGTGTTTTCAAACGTTTGGCATTTCTTCTTTGGTAAATTTTACTGACTTTTTAATGTGAAAGGCATTGGATGCGGTAGGATTGAGTAGTCAGAAAGCCAGACAACATTGTCTTTCAAATGCTAACAGTGCCTTAGTAGATCTGAGGGGTGTGTGTGGTTCACCAGGCCATGAGGAACTTTTTGGAAGCATCATCTCTTTGCCAAAATCTTTGTGCCACTTGGGCTGAGGGGACATCTTGTCTTGTCCAGATAACCCTCTTCTGATTTGATGTAGCCAAACGCAGATGAGAAGCATTCAGTGCGTGAGGTTGGTAGGAACTGCTCACACTAATTTCTCTTTTCTTGCTTAATAGGAAGGAGTTTTTTGAAGGCTGCAAAGCAATAAACGCAGACAGCATTGATGGCATTTGTGCAAGGTTCCCCAGCCTCTTAAATGAAGCCAAGCAGGAAGATAAATTCAAGGATCTGTATCGTTTCACCTTCCAGTTCGGTCTAGACTCTGAAGAAGGACAGAGGTCACTACATCGGGAAATAGCCATTGCCCTTTGGAAATTAGTCTTCACCCAAAACAAGCCCCCCATTTTGGACCAGTGGTTACACTTCCTAATCGAGAACCCCTCAGGAATCAAGGGAATCTCCCGGGACACATGGAACATGTTTCTAAATTTTACTCAGGTGATTGGACCGGACCTTAGCAACTACAGTGAGGACGAGGCCTGGCCGAGTCTCTTTGATACCTTTGTGGAGTGGGAAATGGAGCGAAGGAAAAAGGAAGAGGAAACCAAATGTATTACGTCTTCGGACACAGAGGGCCTGTGTGCGGAGGAACAGACTTAGCAGCATTGAAGCAGCAGTGAGGAAAGCAACCTGTTGCCCTTCATGAAATGTAAACTCTGGATGTTTCTGGAAATTACCGAGGCTCCAGATTTTTCTACTTTACACCTTTTTCTGCCTTGTCTTTGAAAGGGCTCTAAAATGCTGTATCATGTTTTAGGCACTTTCTTAATTTTGGTTATTCCTTTTACTCTTGCCCTGAAATATTTGACCCTGGCTACAAGTTAAGCATTTTTGGGGTTTTTTTTTTAAGACTTCAGATTAGTATAAGTCTGATATTTCTTGCACAATGTAGATCTTTTTAGTTAGGTTAAATTAACATTGCTAAATTATACAGTGCCAGATTAAGTTTTTCATACTACATCTGTCAGGGCAGGTCTGTACTGTGTGTAGTGCTGTTTACATTGTTGACATTTTAGGCTGTAATAATTTTAAGGTTTTATACCAAGATGAACAGCAGTGTTAACTGTTAACTATAAATGCATTAATCCCCTGGCAAGAAGGCTCTGAAAAACAGCGTAAGCAGCAGCTTTTTGTAATATGGCTAGTTCCCATTTTAAGCTAACTCTTAGTGAAAGAGTCCAGATCATTCCTTTTTTTGGAGTTTCAAACTAAATGTTGGGATTGTTTTATAAAATTACTGTACCTGTCAGTCAACTGAGTGGTAGATGATGATTTATATCACTTACACATCACATAATAAAAGAGCAGTACTACCTCAGTTTTATTGAAAGTGGACTTCTTGATGGACTTCCATTTTCTCTGGAAGTTGTATTTTTGTGGTTACATGAGAATATTTTTACTTGACTAAAAGAACCAAAGGTTCTGCTTCTTAAGTTTGCTAAACATTAACAGAAGCAACACACAAAGCCTAAGTCTTCAAGGAAAACTGTGGTATATTTCTGCTTTAATTTGTTTGATTTATACCTAAAGTATTATCTTACTTGTCTGGCAAGCACAGTACTTCTATGTAAGGAACTATCTTTTGCATTAATATTGACAAACCAATTTTTTAAAACCTATGTTTAATTGCTAAATCGCAGTTAGTACTCCACACTTTCTGGAGTAACAATATCGGCATCTGATGACAAAGCGAATTCTTAATGTGTTCTTAATGACAACAGTGCAGATGAGTCATTTTTAGACTGATTTGATAATATTTGGATAGGAGTCAATTTATTATTTTACAATGCCTGTATTGGGAATATTTGCCTGTTGAAACTGTTGTGACTTAAAGGGAGTTTTATTAACACTGGTTGAAACTTTTTTGGTTATTGATGCTACCTTTTTTAATTTTAGTATGTCAACTTTTTTACACCTTTTGGTAAAAGGGATGATTGCCAAGGCTTTCTATAAAGCTAAATACTGGCTTAATGAATTTGATACACTTCCATTACACACCTTTTATTTTCAGAGCTGCATTTCAGCATCATAAAATGGCTTCAATTAAAAAACAAAACCAAACTAAACCAAAAAAACCCTGGACAGTCATCCATAACATGTAATGGCTTTTGTGATATAAGGGTTTTAAAACTAAAAGGAAACAGATTTTACGTGGTGAGCTTGCCACTGGATCCAGGAAGGCATCCTTTGCACATCTGCAGTGCCCCAGAGGGGTTAGCAGAGAGAGGAGGAGGATCTGCCTGAATTCTGTCACTGGCTTTGCTGGTGCACAGCCTATGCAATAGCTTGGGTCTGAGATCATAAATCACTAACAAAATGTGGGTGTTGAAAACTGTTTAAAAACAAACCCACAAGCCACAGATAGCATCTCTTTCATCTAATAAAAGGAGAGTTTGGTCCATGCTGCTTCTGCAGGCTCTTGCTGGGAGACGTGTTAAGCTGTGGAAAAAGATGCAGCTGAGCCTGTCCCTTTGCAGGAGGGGAGCCCTGAACTTGATGTATTATAGGTAAATATACCCAAAGCTTTGTCCTTGCTACTATAACCTTCCAAGCTACCATGGCACAAGCACTGTTTGGCAGCAAAACCTTATTCTGATTTGGTGAGCAAAGCAGGCAAAAGCACTTGTGCTGGTTTAATTGAATTTATGGTGAGACTTTTGCTGGTGCTGTTATTTTTAAAAAAGAAGAAAAATTCCCCAACAGAGGCTGCTTTATTAGCAAAAGTTCCAAATGGAGACTGATTTGATAGTAAATTAAGACTGTATTTATAAGTTTGAGACTACTCATGCATTCTGCTGTTAAATGCTTTGTTTATCACTTCTTTTTTTTTTTTTTTTTTTTTTTTTTTTTTTTCCCTGAAGGGAATTTAAAATGTCCAGAGTGTGAAAACTAACTATTCAATTCGGTAGCCAGTGCCTGCACATGCACATAAAATCATGGCAGTGGCTGCTACTGATCTATACACTAAACTGCAGCAGCTCCAAAGGATGAGGGGTAGAGCTCTTGAAGGCAGGTGTTTATCTTGTGGTCTGAATGTGGATAGCAGAAAGGAAATCAATCTGAAGCACATCAAGGCTTAGCCATTTCTGTGTGTCAAATGTAATTTCTTTTTAAAGATGGTAAAGGTGAATACATAGTAAGCAAAAATCTTATTCCTGTTGGGGAAAGATCATACAATTCTCAGTAGCTTCAGTCCCGTTTTCAGTACAAGAGGACAGTCTTGCTCTTGTTCTGCTGCTTTCAGCCTGGCAGGAGCAACCCCACCCATTGGGGAGAATACCTGCCAAAGTAGCCAAATTCCCTATCTAGCGAAGTACTATTTATTTTTAGCCTAACAGTTTTTTAATTACCATTCACAGAATGCAAACCAGACCTGTGTCAGTTTTAAACTCTTGAACCAGGAGCTGAAGGTGCAACTCTGGCAGTGCTGAAAGTGAGAGAGGGCGTCACACCTTCCCTTGGATTGCCTGGTGATTTTATGATCCTAAACGAGAATAGACTGTACTCTGTAATGCTGGGGTACCTGTGTGGGAGTGGGGCTTTGTACATGTTTCTGAGAAGTCTTTAACAATATTGAAGTCTCTGAAATTATGCTTGTTTAATGGTTAAACTGTGAACATCTGTGGAACAGGCCAAATACATTCACTCTTCATTTTTATATAATTTAAATCTTTATTGTGTAGGGCACAGGACTGTAGTGAGCAGTGATGCTGAGGAAATTCTTGAAACCATTGCAACTATTTAATTCTTTCTTAATTAGAGTATGCGTTAGAAAACTTTATGCATGTAGTGAATCTGCTGCAACTTGGGATAAATAACTATACATAACTATATAGATAGTTATAGTAATATACTGGAAGACTGGTCTGACATCCACACTCTGGCATTTTATTGCCTTCCCTTATACACAAATACAACTCCAATAAGCTTTAGTCCCTAGTAATAAAACACTGACCACCTGCACCATATTAGAGTTTGCAACACCTTTAAAATTTGGCTTCTGGATCAACTGGAGGCTCAGTTGTGCTAATTTTTGTTTGTGTGGGTGCATTTCTGAGGTCAAAGACTATTTATTAATTCAGGTAAGGATTCAAAAGATTCTGCCCACAGCTGGCCATAAAACATGACTGAGGAAATGAATTGAAATGGAACGCTGAATTGTGAGTTTACTTGCTGCTGGTGCTATTCTATATGGAAAATTATAGCTTTTTAAGACTGTGCAATCGTAATGAAAGAACCACAGGAATAATAAATGAAGGTGTGGCAGGTGGCATAAAATCAGACAGCTGAAGCCTGTGGCAGTTCAGTCTGCCGAGCACTGGCTTCCTCAGGCTGGCACAGCAGATCTGCTCATGAATCAGCCTCTGAACCACTATCGCTCTTCAGCCAGGCACATTTAAGAGTATAAAATGAGCTTGCCCTGCTCTGCTGACAAGCAAGTAACTTGGGGTTGGTTGCAAATAGATGCAGCCCCTCTTCCTGAGGGCAGGGTGGCTGTCAGGTGAGGGGTCAGAGTGCTGGGAGCAGCAGCAGATTTGCCCGTGTGACTTTTATTTCATTCCTTGTATGTCATCAGAGCCTGAAGAACCCCTGGATCCCAGGACTATCCTGCCACCCGTGGTTTCCAGATGTGGTTATGCACTGACCTTAGTATTTTCATGACACTGTCAACATAAGTATCTTCCTTACATTTCTAAGCCTTGTTTCTAGAAAAGTCCAGCAAAGTTAAAGAAACGCCATGTAGTTAATAGCCACCTCAGTTGTGATGTAATTTATTGGCTGAGGTTACATCATTCCCATTCATCGGAAAATAATAGTCACTGTGAGTTTCTGGGTCTTGCAGCCTTGTGTTCTGCAGTGTGATCCGTTTTTAGAAGATCCTTTGTAAACTGGACACCCATTTCTTCCCTTGAGCTCACTCTGCTCAAAATGTGTGCATGTGATAAATTTAACCTTTCATATTAAAAAGGAAGATGCTTAACCTGAACATCAAAACTCTTCAGGGTAGTGTTTCAATATACAGCAAAACATGAATATTTTTCAAGTAAGTGTTAAAAGCTGAGTGTCTGCTTAAATTTTGTTGTGTGCAAACAAAACCACCAGTGTTAAAATTTTCTCTGGACTATTGAAGATTGAATCTTTGGTTTTATATTGTCAACTGAAGTGAAATACATGAGATTGTAAGACAGAAGGCTGTAACTCCTTCACCATGAAGTACATAGGTATCTCTACCTCTTGTTCTTAGACTTGAATAGTTTAAGGTTACCATCGTTTTCTCCCAGGAATTTATGCCTCAATGAGTATTTCTTTTAATTGACATGAGTTAAGTATTATCTATTTGGTATACTGCTCTCAATCTGCATGCAATTGGCCCTTTGAAAGGGAGCCAAGTCAAGCTGCAAAAGAAAGTGTTGGTCCTCCTAGGTGCTAGTTTTGGAGTGCAATAGAGTGACCCACTAGAGCTGCATTGCATGTGGCTCAGGGGCTTTTATCATCACACATACTCCTCCCTTGGTCGGGTGACCTGTACTGACCATAAATTGAAGATGGAGCAGCTGCTCCCAAAGAGAGGAGCCATCAGCATTTTCAGTTGCCCTTGAAAAACTTTAGGAACCTACCTGATGCAGTGCTATGAGTGTATTTTTCTTTTGACTAAAAATACTGTGTTTTATTCCATGTTGGATTGGACCTGTAATACCCAGCAAAGATGGGAGATGCAAAAGTGTGAAGGCTCCACCCATCCTTTTCTTCCCGTAGGTCAGACTCTTGCTCAGGATAAAACACTTGAGCAAAGATGGAGCGTTCTCAAGTGTGCTGGAGATGCCAGAGTGGCTTCAGTGGTCGGTTGTGTTCGTTAATGCATTGAGGTGGTGTCTCTCTTTCGTGCAACACATCTCTGTCCCTTGCTTTCCTCCCTCAAAGAAAATGACAACACAATTACTGTCATTGCAAATCCCGAACAGATGCTATGCTGTAGCAACTGTTGCTACAAGATTATTCTTCCAGTTTGAGGGCTGCTTTTGGGGTGTGACCTCTTGCACTGTCTGTACAGGCACATATTTTGAGAGAATGGGAGGATGTGTGAGACAATAGGTAAAAGGAGCATGAACGTACTAGTCCTGCTAAGAGCTTGCCTTAAATCACTGACATTACAGCAGTTCCTTGCTACTATTGCAATCCTCAGTCTTTCTGTAGTTAGGTTTTAAAATCCAACAGGTTCTGGAGGTTACACAATTACTTTTTTTTGGTTTTTAAAAAGCTCTTTGCATAATTGCACTCTTCAGATAAGCCCTTTCTGGATAACATGCCATTTCACACAGAAAAGGGTACCCATCTCCTATATTCTTGCTGTAAAGTGCTTTCTTTTTTCCTCCCCTGTAAATTATGGTTGGACTAAAGGTTGCCTACTGTTGAACCAGTGTGTTTACTTGAATGTTGCCGTTTTATGCAGTTACAACTGCTGAGTCTTGCTCTTCTCTGGGCCCATGACAGGGGAGATCGTGTGACCAGAGGTGGCAAACCTGCACAGAGATCAGTGGAGCTGTAGGCTGGCTGCTGTTTTTATACTCCCGTATGTATTACATGTTAGAGGACTTCACAAAATAGTGCTTAATATTTTAAAGTTGTGACTTTTTAAGTCATGCTAAACATAGTTATCTTAAAAATATGCTTGCTTTCTTATCTATAAGTTTAAAACAGTCTTTAAAGAAGGAGATGGGGGGCAGGAGTGGTTGGAGGGCCTCCTGCTGTTAGTTGTTGAGTAACTCGAGTTCCAAGGGCCATGGATGCAACTGGCAGGATTGGGTCCTGACCCAACGCTACTGGGGTTTGTAGTGGCTGGTCTTGAGGGCATGAAGCAACCGCAAGTCCTTGGCAGGCTGCGTGGAGGGGAAGGGGCAGCCTGGGAGAGCTGGTTGATGCAGCTGGATTTCTAAGAGCACTTGCTTGTGGATCTCGAGGCCCCCAATCTATTCTCAAGTTGCCCTGTATGGAAAGAATGCATTTTGATAGTGTTTGCTCCCACAGAATAACTAATTCTAACAAAGGAAATAATGAGAGCACACTTGTGCTGCTTTTACTGAGTCACATGTGGATACAACTATCTGATCAATCTCTCTATTGCTCAGTAAACCAGCAAGGGTGGATAGGATCAAGTCTGCTGTTCTTCGTGTTGGGAGTGAGGTAACCACGTATGATCCAATTTTCTTGCTCTGGAAAACGATGAATGTATTGCTTGTCGTGGAGCAGAGCCGTGCTTCCTCTTTCAGATGGCAGTATCAGAAGTGCTGTGTAAATGTAAGGCTTGGAAATGGCTGGAGGAAATTCTGTTTCATGTAGGACTTTTGTTTTAAAGGGATGTGGCCAAATTTGAAACCATGATTTAGAGGAAAAGTGGGAGACATTCAAGATGATGCATCTACCGAGTCCTATTTGGTTTGCAGTTTTACACTTTTCTTGTATCAAATTTTGCTCACCATTGTTGTCTGGAACAGAATAGAAGCAGCATCTTATAGAATGTGCAATCTAAGGCACAATGCAAATAGGTTGTAATAAGGTTGTCTTTACTTGATAGCAATCATGAGTGCAATGTTTTTATTGTGTCCCTTTTGGAAGAAGAGCATTAAGTGCAGTCTGAGATTTTTCTTTTCTTATAAGAAAAGCATTGGTTTGTCCAATTACTGACTTCTTGTGGAATTTGTGCCAGATGTATATTAAATATTTTGGTGCTTTTTCTAATCCAAGCTGCCATTCATTTACCTGTGAGATTACTGTACTTCTGTATATTTAAATGACCAATCCCTTAAAGAAAAAAAAATCCTTTAGTCACAATGTATCCTGACTACTGTAGCTTTGTAAATGTTCCAAAGTTTCTGGGTTTCCTGTATTCCAGTAAGGTCTGAGGGGAGGGAGGAGAACAGCTACAGAAATCTAATCCACTGGAAAGGGAACATGCACGCTGTTCTGCGCATTACTGAACAAATGAGTAACATTTGTGGTGTTTACATAATGACACGTCGGTGTTCACTTTTTTGTGCTCAAGCTTTGTACAAAATGTCTTATTTAAAGCTGAAGTCCTTTTTACATTTTCAATTAAAAGGGGACAAATTAATTATTTTTTCATGCCTATAAATAGGACTCTTGCTAGTTTTATTTATCATGTCCAGAGTTTGTCAAGCAGGAATCCTGGATGCTTTCTAAATCCTGCCTAGTCCTTGAAGTGAGGTGACCACATCATTTTTAAGTGCATGGAATGAAAACTAGCTGTGTTTTGTTTGGTTGTTTTTTTTTTTTAAACTTTTCAGTGCAAGTGTCTACAACAAGGAGATGCTGGATGGGAACAGTCTTAACAGGACTGTGTTCTTACAGAGGGACGAGTGCTGAGGTCAGTCTGCCATTCCCCCCCTCCCACTGAGCTGCCTGGGGCTGTGCTGGGCTGGGGTCAGCAGTGGGCACTGGCAGTGCTGGGCGAAGGGGCCGGCTCCCTTTCACATTTGGTAGTAGCACCGAAGTTGATGCTCATTCCAGTTTGCAGTAGCTACAGCCAAAGGATGCCAGGCTCATGTGGAGTGGATAAAGTACCTTTTTAAAATAAAAAAATGGCTGCATTCATCTTGCTTAATAGTAGATTTCATTTCAGGAGTTTTGGAGGCTGTAAATCTAGGTATGAATGTCACTGATGTGCATCTACTAACTGCTCACTAGTGCTGCCTCTGGGCTAGTGCTGCATTTGCCTTTCTCTCCTTTGTCTTTATTTTTGCCTGCACCTCCATGCAGCAACTCCCAGCGTCTCCTCCATAAGCTGCTCTTTGCTCAAAAGCCTGGCCCAGTGAACTTGGGGTTGGAAAGTAGGAGGGTGTAAACATTCTATCAATCAGCTGTATTTAATGATTTCTGGAATAACTCCTCTTTCAACTTTATCTCAGCCTATTCTAATATCAAAAAATTCTTCATCTAATATCGAGAAATTTTTCATCTCACATTCAAAGTTTGTAACAAACATTTCCTTTTTTCTTTTTTTATGAGTGCCAAAAGCTCTCCTAGGCATCTTTGTACTTAGAAATTCCATATGTTAACAAGAGATGCTCGAGCAGCCTTTATCTTAAGTGCAAAGCACAGGTCTGACGCTGTCAGTTTGCAAATCACTTCATCCTACTGCTGGCAGTGCACTGAGTCTGACTGCAACTGTGCTTCCAGCTCCCTGCTGAAAGCGATGATGTGTGAAGTTCACACAGACGTGTGCTTTCCTTAAAATGGCCCTTGCCCCTCCCACAGCCACACCGCAATGTCTCTTTTTCCTTCTTTTATATGTGTGAGGGGTGCAGGGGGTGGTCAGGGCGGGAGGAGAAAGTGGAGGCTGTCCAAGAAGTGTGAATCACCAATTCCTCCTTTCCATGGACTAAGTACAGTACTTTCCCGGAAAGGAGGCAGCGACCCTGCTTCAGAGCTGGCACAGCACATTTCCAGAAATCCACACAATTCCCGAGAATAGCTTTTAACTGCTGAGCAGCTACTGCAGGTACTACATGAACCTGGCTTGCGGGTTTACAGCCTGCGGTGTTTTGGTGAAGACAACTCAGCTGGTGTGTCAGGCTCTGGCAGTGACTTGCTGAGTTACATCTTGCAGGCCAGTACTGATCAGCTTTTATCCAACACCCACTGGTTTGCCCCCAGCTCTTCCTAAGCACTTGCCTAACTCGCCCGCTGCCAAGGAAAACCGCCACAGCAAGAAGGGTTAATGGAAAAGGGTTTGTGCTTTAAGATGTTTTGAATAGCTTTTATTTTTAGACTTTGTAAAAGATACAGCCTGAAAGCCTATTGTTCTTATGGTAAGAGATCTTTACAAAGACATCAATATTTAAAGTAATTAAAAATATCAAAACAAAGGACTTTGCTTAAAAACTTGGCAGTTTAACAAGCACTCCTCCCTCCGTCATCTTTTATTCCCATCAGACCAAGGCCAGATTGTGATCCATGCATGCTGCAACACAAACAAGAGGTGTGTTATTTCTGCTCAGGGTAGCCTTGCTGCACATGAGCTTGCTGGTCTAGCAGAGAGAAGCCTGCAACCCTCAGGGTCAGCAGATGAAAAAGCTATTTTTTTTTTTTTCCACCCAACAATTATTTGGCATTCTTTTTAATCAAGAAGCCTCCTCTGGACTGTCAGTCCTCTGGGAAACAGTAATACAGGAACCTCACTTGGCAAGACATCTCTGCCAAGCCTGGACGGAGCTCCCCTCCAGCCCACGCAGGGCCCTGCGCAATGTGAGCCAGACTGTGGGCTCCCACAGGCTCCTTGTGGATGCAAACTCCTGAATCCACCCGTTCCACTAGTGGGATTCATCACCCCTCAGTGATGCGAGCCAACAGACAAGCTTGGGCTGAGGTCAGCTTGAGATGGCCCTTGGAAAGTAAATCTGGACCTGCTGAGACCAGTGAATCTGCTGCAAAAGGCACACAGTATGGGCTGGAACTCCACAGCCACCCTTTCCTCAAACCTTTCCATTGGAGCTGACAGGTTAGTATGCAAAGTAACCAAGGTGACAGAGGCCAATGATTGCTCCAAAAAGTAAGAACTGACTTGGTTATAGCCCAGAAGCAAGCAGTAGATGCTCAAAGGACCACATGCACTAACCTGCCCACAGAAGTTAGCCCTCAGTTCAGGCCTCTCCCCCCAGCTGATTTAAACCGAGGCAGTATTTGATACTGAGCTTGTGCAAGAAACCATTTACACATGCAATTGGTGCTTCTCTAATAAGGCAGGAAATGCTGTCTCATTTTGTAAGCACTTATTCTTTGATGTGGGGGAAACACAGCTTAATGATCTTTACTTAAATTATTAAAAAAAAATCTAAAACATTATTCTTTTTTTGAAAAGTTACTAGAAACCAAACTATTAGAGCAGATCATGCCAAGATCAGCCCCTGGCATGCAACCTTGCTGAAATGGTTTGTGACTAGCATCAAGCCTAAATATACTCTTGGCTTGGGCTGCATCTCCCTCCTACAGACACTGCTGCAGAGGCTAATACAGCATCATGGTTCTTCTCAGGAGGCTTGTCAGGTTAGAGAGGGAACCTGGTCTGGCTGCCTTGCCAGGCAGAAGAGATGCTGCTGAGCAGCTCTGGCTCCCTGCCTCTGTTTTGGGGCACGTCTTCTGTCTCTCCAAGGAATGGTACCCCTTCCCTTGAAAGGAAACTGAAGAAAAGCAAGGGTAGATGTGACCTTTATTTGACTGACCAGTGACACAGTGGGAGAACAGAAAGACTGCTGAAATAAGCATGTACTCAGTAACTAGGGCCTTGTCTGGGAAAGATTTAAGCTTTCTGGTTAATAATTAAGCAGTGGATGACTCTGGCAGTTCAGGCCTCGGGTTCTGAAATGCAGGAAGCCCACCCCATCTGGAAGCATCCCTGGTGTCAGTGCTGAAGCCCAACTCAAGTCTAGGACTTGCCCTTTCTTATGAAAGCTTAATGACTCAGTGAAAGCGTTCTTTCATGTCAGAATGAGGGGATGAACCACCTCAATGATCAGCTATGGCATAAGCACATACATCAGGGTGCCACAAGACAACAAGTGGTAGATGGTACCTTGGCTGCAGCAGTTACATGGTTTTAAAAAACAAACAAAACCTTACCAAAACCACCCAAAAAAAATGGCTGCTGTGGAAACTCTGCTTCATTCTCTTATGGGCACATAAAACTTACCTTGTTGTCAATAGGGATGACACATCCAACAGCAAAAGGTAGGTGAACTGAGAAGACCTGTATAATCAATCCACACTGTGTACTTCAGCCTTGCTAATCTAGACAGTCAGCGGCATAAGTGGTGTCAGCACTTGTGCTTGCTCTGGATCAGGCATGGCTTGGGGCAGAACTTACTGTTCAGGTTTTATTGGCCTAACATGAAAGTCAGACTGAGTAAGTACAACATCTTCTTCAGGCCTTCTCTCAGGCTTTCATTTCCTTGTGCAGGGTTTTAATTTTTAATAGATTAAGATAAAAATATTTGGCTATGTATTTTCCTTGGCTCTTTGCAGAATAGGTAGCAAATTACCTGTTCACTCCAGGAAAGAGAACGATGCACAGGGTGTTATTCTGCAGACTTCTATAAAGCTTTTTGATATGCTGGTCTAACTTCTTCACCTTTTTCCTTAGATCCTGTTCCTGCGTAACAGAATATAAGCATTAAAATCTCAAATTCATCTGTAGCAATCACACTTAAGAGTGTGTGTGGTGAGACCCTCAGGCAGTGTCAGGGATTGAACAGGTGAGGACAGCAGTGATTCTGTTACTGGCTGGTATTTGACAATGCAGTGGCTCAGCACCACATGCCCTGCTCAAATGGCACTGCAGCTTCCTCCAGTGAAAATAAGAGCTGCAACCAGAGCTGTTCTTTCCTGTATGGCTATACAACTCGTCACTTCTCCCTCAGACTTCCATACACTTGCTAAACCTGTACAGTGCTCTGTGTGCTCTCAAGTGGAAGGCTTCAGTTCCTGTGTAACATCATTCACTGCCCTGAGCAGCTATGCTGGTTTTAAGGTGATAGACTATGCTGCAAATATCACGTTAGCTTGTGTGATATTCTCTCTCCAAACTGCCTTGTGGGAACTGATCCTTGGCAGCCTCTCTGCTCCAGCACAAGGAGACCCTTCTGTTAGACACAGCTCTGCACCCAAGTCTGCCCAAAGTTATCACTCCTGGTTCCCAGGGCAGCACCTCCTCACTAACCTGCAGAATCATCAGCACACCCTTGAACTCACAGAGTCAGACAGTTGCTCCATTTTCTCATGTAAGATGTTTCCTCCTTGCTTCTCACTTCTCTGATTCATTTGCCAAATCCATCTCCAGAGGTGACCTGAAGCAAGAGCATTCCTACTTCTTAGTTTACTACCCTTCACAGTCCATCCATTTATAACTTCAAGGGCATCCACAGCACTTTGTGATTTCTGGAATTCTGAAACAGAAAAAGAAGGGGAACATGCTTTGTCAGTGATGCTGCTACC